AAGACAAGAAAAGGCATGGTAGAGAACAGAACGATGACAATCTTTTGAATGTCGTGTCATTGTTTTTTTTCTAGTCATGTTTTTGAAGCTGGCTAGGAGCACGACAAACCGAACACAAACAAAAAAATCAAAGATCTGTTGAATGCATATTAGAGTGCAAAGGAATGTTACGTTCGAATCTCGAAAAAACACAAAAAGCATGGACGTTAGTACTTGAGATTAACTCCTACACTTTAACTTTTTTTTGTACATAATCAAGTTTTTGAAAAAATTATTTTAGAGTAGAACTGAGAGGGGCATATCATTAGGTGCAGTTTTTGGTGCTGATTACGAATGTCATATTAGTTTTTTAAAAAAGTTAAATTTTGGCACGAAAAATCCAGTTTTACATTTTTTGCAAACTGTATTTTCAGTTTCCTCACCTAGACATTTTTCCTAATAAAAATGGAAGGCCATACTAATCGATGGAGAATTCGATTCTCTACAAGATGATATGTTTCTTTTGAAGTTTAGATTCAAAACAAGTTTTTAATAAAGTTTTAAGTTTTAAGATTCTCACACAATTCTAAGAAAGTGAAAATATTTATTCGGCTTTATTTTCACCTTAGTCGGTATCAGATCCCTAAAACTAAGTTCGATGTGAAAATGAAATCCTTTGAGCAATGTCTGGTGCTCCAAACTTTTTTTGGAAAAACGATTGTCACAGCGTCACGACGATAAAACACAATTATTGAGGAATGGAAAGCTTTTTCGAAAGATTCCTTTTTAGCAATCAGTAGCTCGTTTACTTCTCTACAAATTTTGCGCGAGGCTCTTTTATTAGCTCTTCTAAATTCGCAGCAAATAAGCTTTTAATGAGAAGAACTTCGAATTTAGGGCCTTTTTTGTCACAGCGTCACGCGCCGAAAAACGGTTCTAAAAATTCGAGTCTTTAACCACATACCTTCATTTTGATACCAAACGTAGAGTATGGCGAGCTCCGTCGAATGGCGCAAGAACGAAGTTTCTAGCTGTTACACTTTTTGAGAAAAGCCCAAATTACTGTGTCAAAAATGTTACAGCATCACGCTTGGACAAGCCGTCCGGTTGCTTCGCTTTTGTACGGAAGATTTTTCGATTTTTAGCAGGATTCTGGACGCTTTTGAGCTTTTTTCGGCAAGAAAGCGCAAAGAACTTCCGAATTCACTCGTGAATACAGCCACTCAATCGTTTAGAAGACCAGTTTACAACTATTCAATATTTCCAAAAATGCAAAACGGAGTTGAAAATAAATGTTCAAAAACCCAACTCAAACCTACTAAAATCTCAGCTCCAACAACTCCGCCAAAGTCAACTCCTACTCCAACTCCAACTCCACCAAAAGAATCCCCAACTCCGGAGTTGGAATTGCCCAGCCATGGTCTGTTTTATTTCTTATCTGGTTATTTATTTTATTTTATTTTATTATTAATCTGGTAAATTCCAGGTTTTATGAACAGAGATCGAATTATCAAATATAATCGGCCGTCTGGCGTGATATCGTATACCTTGTAAAATAAAAAAAAAGGAAAATATGTGGAGACATCACAGATGTCGTACCTTATCGGGGTAACGTCATAAATACACTTGATTTTACATGTAAAGCTGTAAAATCTCAGTCAAACATAGCTGGTATTACTGGGCCATTTTTGTCAAACGAAGCTAAAATAATTGCACAATTTTCCAGTCGTATTGGTATTTCAACAATAAGTTATTCAGCAACTGATCCTGAACTATCTGATCGTAATGCATATCCAATGTTTTATCGTCTCGCACCAGCGGACAATATTGCAGCCTATGCAATATCAAAAATATTTGAAAAATTTAAATGGAATATAACCAATATTATTTACCAAACAGATAGTTATGGACAAGGTGGTTTGCAAGCTTCAACAGAAATATTTATTCGAATTGGTGTAAAAATATTATCGACAACTAAATTTGATATGTCAGCGAAAGAAGTAGATGGTAATTTAAAAGACATATTGCACATTTGTATTTATCATTTTATTCAGTGCGCAACAAAAGTTTCGCCCGCAAACAAACTCGTTCATCTCACACATAGCAAGAACACAAGGAAAAGTGATACCATTATTATACATAGTACTCACTGGCAATCCATTATTCATATTCAGCTTGGCTATTTCTTGTCGTTTTTTCAGATTAATTAAGTAATAAAAATGAGTCCACATTTTTTACTAACGGGTGCAGCAGAATAAATGACCCTCTCCGTATTTTCTATTTTTCTCGTATTTCTTTAGGACCCTAAGGTTAGTGTTTCTTTTTAAAAGATGCGCCTCGAAATACTCTACAAAACCATACTTAAACATTAATTTCAGAACTTCAATCAAGAAAACTACGCAAATTATACGAAAGACGGAAAAAATGAAAACTTTCTAAATCTGGTATTGTTTTAGACTTAAACTTTTCTTTTCTGCTATTATTTCCATAGAAAAGCGTAGAAAAGTGAGAACGCAGTTCCTTTAGTACTTTTGAGTGTGCTCTTTCTCCTGATCTATAAAAGAATTTTTTTAGATCAGATGATGTGCTGGAGAACGAAGTTACAAAAATACGTCAAAAATTGACAGTCCCGGTTTCCAACAATGTGCCCAAGCAAGAAACGGAAAACATGATTGAAGTTTTGATTTTGCAGTTACGTAGAGAAGACCAATCATTTCTGATCAAAACAAAACAAACCCGATCGAAAAATCTTTTGTTTTGATGGAGTTATAGGACTTTTATTGAAAGCGCCATCGTACGCAGAAATTAAAAAATTAATTGAAAAATGCGTGACAACCAACAGAAAATTATTGTTTCTCCACGGGTTTTGATGTGAAAAAATTTGAAGTGTAGCTAAAAGATAGAGCGAAGTCAGGACTACATAACGGCCGATTCAGGTTTTCTCACTTTCAAAATGTTAACACAAGAAATCATTTTTGAGTTGGAAAGCTTTGAGTTTTTTCATCGTTCGTATAATTTGCGTAGTTTTCTTGATTGAAGTTCTGAAATT